TTCCTGCTAGTTATGTTGCTTATCCTCCCCTCTCTCCAGTTGGTAGGGTCTAAAATTAACATGAAATCGTGTCTGTTGTCTTTTGCCATTAAATGCAGTGTGGGTAACTAGCGAAGAAATTAGTATGTGTTACTCATATTTGCTGCATATTGGTCAAAGACTCAAAGTCGAGATCATGACTTGATCATAAATCGTCATTTTGAAATATGAATCAGTTGAAGTGTGAATAGTATGAGTAAATTGTATTTTAGCTTCTGGTAAATGATGCATATTTATTATCTCTATTAATTGGTTGACTGCCGAATAAATCATGTATTTAGAGCCATATCGTTGATGGTTAAATGACCACACTCAATATGCTATTTCAAGCAATATTCTGTTCTGTGTAACTAAACCTGATTTCCACGGAGTGACTGCATGGTCCTCTCGTACCGTAGACATCACAGGATCAATAAAATATTAAATTACATAAATGCATGACATGGAGATGAATAAATTTTATAAACCTGGCTGCTTTATATTTTATAAGAAAAAGGGTGGAGAGTTGGCTTAAACATTACATGCCAAAAATATTTCTACTATCAATTTTGACGAGAAAAAAACCAGCAAAATCCAACGACAGTTAGGTTTATTAAATATATTAACAGGGTTCGATTTACTAACCGAATGTATAGAGAAAATTTTGTTGAAAATACAAAATTCACTTCGATAATCTCTATGCTTTGAGGAATTGGTCTTTGATGGTTGTAACATATTCTGATGAGAAAAAAAAAATATTGTAGATTCACATATAAATAGCAGGAGACAAGTTTAGGGATACAAATATGAAATATCTGAATGAAAGAAGAGAAGGAACAAGGAAGTGAGAACTGAGTTTGGTATTATTTTTTTCTTCTTCAGAAAAGATAGGAATTAATGGATTTAGGGACAGAAAATCTCCTTTTCCACCTCATATCCCATCTTGCCCCTTCATATTTACTTAAAGTTAAAACATGAAATTACAATAATGTTCTGCATTTTTATTTAAATAAATACTAGTTTTATTTAATTTTTGGTTACATGAATGGCCGTTGAGCCGAAGAAAGCTTGGTGAAAAAGTGGTTTACGAAAATGTTTCACAAACATGTTTTATGCATTTTTAATTTGTTTCATTTGGAAATTAACTTCCACAAACCATGTTAACATTCGGTTAATCTTCCTTGTTTACTTCTCCAATGCACCAAAAACAGGTTTCCACAAACCCTTTTGAAAATCGTGTGAATTTGTATTTCAATTTATGGAACTATTTTCACATCAAACCTTTCCATATTTAAAAGTTTATGACGGTGAAATTATTAGTTTTTATAATAATTTTTTTAAAATGATAGTTAAGATAATTTAAGTTAATGAACAATGTAAAGATATTTATATAATTTTAAAAAAATTAAACTATAAATAAAATGAAAAGAGTGTAATGGCAAGTGCACATTTATTTGTCTCAACTGCTCATCTTTTTTCAGTTTTCTAAATCCAAAGTCTACAATGTCAAATAAGATTCTGCAAAAAAAAAAGTATTAATTAAAATAAATTACAGCGTAATTACATTAAAAATACGTAAGAAAAATTTAATAAAAACTTTTCATAATATTTCTATATTTTTTATTTTCAACCAGTACAGGGAATTTACTGTTTGGATGCAAGCAAAATCTCACAATTGTCTCCATTGGTTGAGAGATTTTTTGGGTGGTATCCAAAAGCAAAACTGTGAGAACTTTGACCCAAAACAAGTAATATCTTGCCAATGTTGTCCCCCTATCATGAGAGAGGTCATGTATGATGTATGAGTATGTGTGTGGTAACTCCACACTTAGAGCATATATATGCATGTGTGTGGTAACCCCGGGTGCACAACACTTACAGCAACAATGTCAAATAATTTTCACAAAAGCAAAACTGTGATGGTTTGGATCAAAAGCGGACAATATCTTACCAATGTTGTCCCCCTGTCATGAGGAAAGTCATGTATGTGTATGTGCGTAATAATCTCGCACTCAAAACATATATATCTATGTGTGTGTGGTAATTTCGGGTGCACAACACTTACAACAAAAATTTATGATCAAATTATTCAAAAGTATACTTTTCTTCGATGCAATTTTCAAACTTACTATGCTATATATGTGGGTCTTATATATAATATTGTATTGGAGAATATAATTTAATTAGCCACATTCACATATGATCACCATTAGCATCGTTGTGTCAACAGCGAATGGGCCTTCCTGAAATGATTGGAGTGTCTTGGGCTGAATATAGCGGGCCTTCAGCTAGAGTCCAATTAACGAAGTCATTGCCCAGCCAAGAAGTTGTGGAGCCTCAGCCACTAATTGCTACGACCAATTGGATTTGGCTGATCATATATACACCTCCTATTTTTTATAAGTACATCTTCAATCTCTTTTTTTTTAAATAAAATTTTTAAAATATCTTTCTAACTAAATTTTTATTTTAAGTTCTATTTTTAAATTTGTTTTTTATTGATCCCTTTTTTCATCGTTCTTCTTTTTCTTTCTTCTTTTTTTTATTCTCTTTTTTCATCACTCTAGTCATTTTTTGATGATTTTATTATTTTTCATTTTTCATTCTTGATTTTTCTTCTTTTACAATCAACATAATCATATTTTATCTTTCTATCTTTTAAATTCTATTTTTCACTTTCTACTCTATTCTTTCTTAAACCCTAATTTTTCATTCAATCTTTATTAGTCTCTACATTCAATACAAGGTACAAATTAATATATTAAATTATATTTTATATTTATAATTTTTTTAACTTATTTAACATTACTTATGGATAACAGGATTGTAGACGACGATGATAGATGAGGAGATAAAGAAACACGTAAGTTAAATTTGTCATACCGAAAAGTAAGATTCGAAATTTAATTTTAGCATTCCAGAAAGTATTTTCTGAAATAGTAAAATTATTATTCCAAAAAAACATTTTCCGGAAGTGTGTTTCTTATATAATTCCGGAAAGAACTTTCCGGAACAGTAACTTTAGTATCCTGGAAAGTACTTTCTGGAATTATGTAACAAAACTTTTCCGGAAAATACTTTTCGGAATAAGAATTTACTATTATAGAAAGTATTTTCTGGAATAAAAACTTTATTATTTGGGAAAGTAATTTTCAGAACAAAAACTTTACTATTCCATAAAGGGGGAGTGTGAGAAAAAGAAAGAAGAAGGGGGGTGAGAGAAAAAGAAAGAAGAAGAGAGGTGCGGGGAAGAGAAAAAACAGGGGTGCGGGGTGCGGGAAAAAGAAAGAAGAAGAGGGGTGCAAGTGCGGGAAAAAGAAAGAAGAAGAAGGGTGTGAGGAAGAGAAAGAAGGGGGGTGCGAGGTGCGGGAAAAACAAAGAAGAAGAGGAGTGCAGGGAAGAGAAAGAAGAGTGTGGGGTGCAAATTTAAAATTTTTTTATATATATATATATATATATATTTTTTTTAAAAAGTAATTTAGAGATTTTATATATATTTAAAAAAAAAAGTGTTTATACGAAAATGGAGGTGTATTTATCATCACCCATTGAATTTTCTAGAGACTTAACCCATTCCTTTAAGATACTTTTCTTGGCCCAGTTATGAAGTGTATCTATAAGTATTCCATTATTATAAATTTAATTATCTCTTTTTAAATTATTTATGCACGTAATATCTCATTCTCCCTTGGAAAAGGTTTGCCTCCATGAAGCATTGTGGCAGAACCTGAAATATCTTTATGAAAATCCTGAGATGGATACAAGAATCTGGCCCCTCCAATTCACCAAATCCTTTGATGCAGATTGATACCAGAAGAGAAGACATGCTAAAGTCTTTTCTACCTCATTCTTCTTATATAAAAACCCATACAACACACTTCTAGTTCTAGCCGAGCCAACTCATAACAAACTTCTGCACAATTTTATAAAGATAGAATTCTTTTTTGCTTTTGTTAGCCGGTATAGAATTAAAGGCTAATTTCTCAATATATTAAAATTCATTTATAGGACTAACATTTTTAATCTTTTTTTGTTTTTGTTAGACTGTAATTATTATATTGTTACTATTATTGGTTGGTACGACCTCGGCCAACTTAATTATCACTCATATTTATGTTGTAACATACAATGTATAAATACTTAACTGCCATTATTTTGGAATAATTAGAAAGAAAAGAAAAAAATATTGAGAAGACCACTTTGTGAGTCACTATGAAACGGAGTGGACCATAACCAAATCCATTGTCTGCATATAAGGGAAAAAGGTTTCAATTGAAGCTATGGGAAATCTTAATTGAAAATCGAGCTTTGAAATTTGAAACATGTATAGACAAGCGGTGTATGCATGATTGAAGGACTTGGATGCACCATTACTTAATTAGTTTGATAATTTTTGTTTGGATCATGTAGAAAAAATCAAAATGACGAAACCTGAGATAAGGAAAGAAAAGAGAAAACAATAAGATTTTTTTTATAAACAAATCACTCTTATAAATGAGTAAAAAATAAATAAATAAATAATAAGGATATGAAAACTTATTTTTTCGTAATTGTAATTTCTTAAAATAAGAGTGATTGAAGGAAATTCACGTGATTGGTACGTATGTGTGTATGATTTATTGTTAAATTAAGTGTGAAGGAAATGTGAGGCATATATGAGCATAAACATAAACTTTTCTAAAATAATAATTTATTAAATTTTTTATTTTTATTCTTGATAATTAATGTGTATTTATTAAATAATATATTTATTCATTTTTAATATATCTATTTCTTCTCTAACTACCTAAAGGGCATAACAAGAAAATAAGTAATAAATATTCTAAAAAAAACTAAAATATCAATTTTTTATTATTATTCTACATAAACTTTAAACGTAAAAAAAATAGAGGAAATAATGATTATAATATAATATAATAAAATTATTTTAATATTAACAAATATACTTAAATAGTACATGTAGATACACTTTCAATTTTCAATCAATATTTTTTTTTATTAATTATTCGTAATTAATTATTATTCGAGTAATAGATACAAGTGTGGGTACTTATATACCTAATGTATAAGAGTACAAGAATTAAAATTATTATGACATGTTTGGATAACTTTTTTTATAAATTGTTTTAGGTAAAGAAAATATAATAAGAATAAAATAATGTTTTAAAGTTACATAAGTAAAAATAGAAAAAAAAATGTTATGAGAAAGTTGTATAATTTAATTTATATGAAAACTAATTTTATTTTTAAAAAAATAATTTTCTTTTTTTCTTTTTTTGTTGTATATTTATGGAGAAATTCATCTAAAGAGATTTTTAATATGGATGATGGATCTAGATTCAAATATTTCTTTTATAATATAATACGAATATAAGAATAAATATTAAAATACGTACGGTAGTCATTGTTATTCCTAAATGAAAACATATTTTTAATCAATATTTTATAGATACTTTATTGTTTTTCTTCATTTGATTCTAAATAAATTTGAAAGGCTGCACAATTTTTAACGTACATTTAGGCGCAACATCTTTTTGTGCTGCCTTTCTAGTTTCTACCACAATGAGTGCCCAATAACGTTGTTAGCGTCGTTAGTTGAATATAATTACTACCATATAGACTTGACTTGGATCACTAAATAAATTTAACTTGGTTTAATACACAATCTCTTCCGAATAAATACTATATTTAGATTTAGCAAAGGATTATAAATAATGAGAGGAAAACACAAGTTAGAGTGTGTGTTGATTATAGGGATTTGAATCGTGCCAGTCCAAAGGACGATTTTCCCTTGCCCCACATCGATACACTTGTGGATCACACCGCCACAAACACACTCTATTCCTTTATGGATGGATACTCGGGGTATAATCAAATCAAGATGAATATAGAAGACCCCGAGAAAACTTCTTTCATTACACCCTGGGGCACTTATCTCTTGTTTTAGCTGTGAGTAACTATTAAGCCTACTCTGAACCTAACATCAACTAGGGCTGAAGGAGGCTCACAAAATTGGTAAGAGTTCTCGTGGGCATTATTATGCACACCATTCTTAATCTCACTTTGAATTTTGCTTCTTGTACTAACGGTTTAGGAGATAAATGCTGATATTTTGACGTGATTTAATAGTTAATGATTTTGATTAATGTGAAACTTATTCTTTGGTTCAAACGTGCCGTTTTATGATTGGTTTTCTTTGAACTTCTGGTTTTTACTAAAATAGAATTTCGTGGTGTAAACTGATCGTTGAAGTTTCATTTTTTATTTTTGGTCGAGGATCAATCAAAGTGATCAAAAGCTGCTAGAACTTGGGTACAAACGAAGCACCCAAGACTGTATAGAGTGTACGAAGCAGCAAGCCGGCTGAAAAAAGTGATAATATCTACACTGCTGCACGTTTTGCACTACACTTGGAAGTCAGGGGCAACTGTTTCAGATTTTCCACTTTTATCGTTTGATATTTATAGATAAAGACGTCGGGCAATAATTTTTAAAAAGGAAAAGCAGTGAATCTTGGAAAATGATGTATCATGGAGTGTGAGGAACATGTTTCAGGTTTACAACATGCAACCTTTGCATGCCTTTATGAGATATCATGGACCCAGACCCTCTACACATCTCCGGTGAAGCTAGAACTGTTTAGTACGCCTTTGCTTGCATGTCCAATAGGTGCGTTTTTGGATAATTTATGAAAGAAAACACAGAAGCTGGAGTTTGTTACTTTTACGTGAAAGGTAAATAACCAGTTTATGGTGTCACTATAGGTTCTCCTCAGATAAATAGATGAGGCCATTGAGTGTGCACAAAGCGAGCAGGATGAGTGGCCCTTATAAGAAAACATGCATAGGATTTAATTGAATAAAAAAATTAAAGAGAAATAAAACTTGGTTTTTCTAAAACGTTCTTGTATTTTCTTTTTTTGGAGTCTGGGAGGATTATGAGATGGGTATGGGAAGACAAAGAATCCACGTGAAGTGGGGAATTGAATTGATGGTAAGAGTAGGTTGATCTTATGATGCAATTTAACAATGAATAATAATGCTTCTTGTCTGATGTCCCACGCACGCACTGTGCAATGGTGACTGCTTGCTGCTGCTACTCTTTTCAAAACCTTTTTCCTTTTGCATTCGTATGCATGAACACTGCTGTTACATCACATTGCTTTCTTGATTTCCTTTCCTACCAAACCCACTGCTGTTTTTCCTTTTCTATTCTGATAACATGACATTTCCTCTGTCCTTCCTTTTCAGTCTAAATTTCTCTAATCCCAGATATTATTATTGCTCGTGCCGTCTCTCTGCAGTCTGCACTTTTATTTTCGGAGGCTGTTAGGTGACAAAGCACTAGGCAAGAATAAGTCTGCCTATTACTATTGCTATTGCTTCTGTGTCAGGTAATAAAATAGTTTTTCTTCTTCCATTTTGCTCCTAAAGAAATAAAATATAAGAATATTAATTCAAAATGAAAACTCTCTGGGCTTGCCAAACTCCATCCAAGTTCCGACTACCAACCTCATACTTTAGTCACAATTCACAAACCACTTGAATACTTTCGTAGTACGAGTATTGGCTTGGCACAATCTTTGTTCTTGTATAATTTAACAATACAACTTTCTGTACGTTTTTTTTCTTGTATAACTTGAATGTAACTAATCTAACTATTAATCAGATAGGCTCGATTTCAAAAAAGAAATACGTTCATCTCCAAAAATATTTTAGACTCGATCACTTTTACTTATACGATTATACCTTGCTGAAATTTATATCAACTTTGAATTGTACAAAAACTAGTTATCTAGATCGGCTATTTACAATCTGGTTTTAGTTTAGAGAAACAATTCAGGACAGAGTCGTTAAATAAGACACAAAAGTCATTATGACTTGATAAATTTTAATAATAATAATAAAGAAATTACTAAAAGAGAGTCTTATACAAGCAAAGTATTCCTCCTCGGTATAATTTATAGGGAAAAATAATTTATTAAATAGCAGAAAATTCTTGTATACTGTTCACAATAATGGCAAATAGGCCCAGCTGAGTCAGTTCAGGTTGTAGCGATCTGTAAAAATTGATCAAGAAAATACCCTTTGTCGAAGGTTTCCAAAACCAGATAGAACGTGTCCCCATAAAGACCTCAATAATTAGATCAAGTGTTAAAAAAATTATTATGGACCCTTTGTGTCAAGTGTCAACTTTTCAAGTATAGTGGAAGAATTCTAAGCAGTATAGCTGGATTGAGATGTGATGTCCATCTCTTCACATTTTATTTACATTATCGTAATAACGAAAGGAAAAAACAATTCACTTGGGTTGCATTAGCAATATAAGTAAAAAAAATCAATTAATTTGTAGTCGTTTCACAATTCTATAGATGAAGAATCAGCAGAAAAAAAAAAGAAGAAAAAAAAGCTGCAAACATGGACCATATATGATATACCTTACCAACAATTTTTTCTCTCTCTCTTCTCTCTTAATAATTATGAAAGAATGGAGACACCAAACATTTGTCACTTTGTATGCTTTGAAATTTATATATATTAATTACGGTCAATTACTCGATTTCAGCTCATAGTTGGGGTCATACGTGCTTCAGGAAATTTATCAAAATTCCAAATCCATGTGGGCACAAGATATTCGGATCTAAACTTGTACACTTACCCGTATGCTTCATTATTGCCCGAATTGTCATTTGAATGATCGGTAATTATAATTCACAGAGAAGGGGGGGAAAAATCGGGAAAAAAAGTTGTTTCTACAGAACGTCATGATGCTACTTTCTAGACAAAATAATTGCAACATAATCCCAATCCATGGATCAAGGGATTAGGCCTTCGTTAATTCAATAGTTGGTTCTTGATAAAAGGAAGCCCATATGGATGATCAAGGCTTTAAATGTAAGCAAGCAAAGCTGGAATGAGTAAATATGTCATTAAAACCAGACAGGACCTTATCATTAATAAAAACAAAAAGGAATATGATTGAGGAAATCAGAATAATGTGTTTCTTCATAATTACAATTATATTTGTTGAAGGTACTACACAAGTTGAGCAAACTCTTATTATTTGTCTTAGTCTGTTTAGTAACTACTTTATTATTACAGTGAAAAGGACTGCACAATTATTAAGCCACTTATAAATGCAACTATATATCTATATACAGCTTGAGCACAATAACATGTACACGTTATTGAGACTTATCTTTTACGAGAAATTTGACCCTATATATCAAGGTAGAGATATCACTTGTCGGGCACTTGATAGCGATTTCCTACTACGTGCCCAATTAAGTGGTAGATTTACACAATACATTATTGTTACTACTACGACTCAAAAAGTTGTAAAGGAAATTGGGCCAACTAAAAATTTGAAATAAAGAAAGAAAAAAGAAAAAAAGCTAACCACATATTAATTAATATGAAAATTTTCGATATCAATCTCAACTCACATACTAACATAGTGTTTAATCAGAAGGAAAAAATATTTTTTATTTGATAGAAAATTTAGACAAGTGAAACAAATAAAAAATAGAAGAGACTAAAAATTTATCTTAAATTCAAATTTAAGAAATGTTAGCGACATTTCTCTAACGTTTCTTTATCAATACTCTAATTATTTAGTCGATGAATCTTACCACTGAATTAAGAAAGTTGTTAGTGCTACAAAAGAAATGTTATAAATTGTAACTAATATTTCTCTTTAAACTATTCTCACAAACGCATCAGTGTTAGGATATAGAGGGAAAAATATATATTAATTAACTTGATTAACAACACATTGTTCGGTGGTATTGGCACATGACATATTTGATAAATTATTTATATATTTTCCCTAAAAGATAACAAGAATGAATATAGTATCTTTAAATTTTTTTATTTCACTATATAGCCTCTTTCACGTGAAAGCAATCTTGTTGTTCAATGAAAACACTAACAGTACAGTGAAACCAATTCTCCCGTTATACCTTTTTTCATATGTTACAGAATCAATCATATATCATCCAGCGGTTGGTACTTGTAGAATGAAAATAATATTGACTACTAGGTTGGAAATCAATTCAGCAAAATATCAACAGAGAAGTGTGCTGTGGAGAGCAAGATGAAATGAAAGCAAAGAGCAAATGATGAAGGATAGGTTGTGAATGATACCGCCAAACAGAAATCCTTTGGATCCAACAAAACAATTATTTTCTCCCTTCATCTTTCTCTCTTTCTCTCCATTCTTTCTCACACCTTATCCTTTTCTGGTCTAACAACACTCCACGAGAGAGAGAAAGAAGAAGAAGAAGAAGTGTTGTAGTATTGCTTCATTTTCATCAATGGGAGCTGGTTGCTCTAAATTGTGTCTATGTTGGTGTCCCTCCAACACCAAATCCAATCCTCATGACTTACCTGATAATGGTGAACTCATATCTCACTATTCACACCATCTGGGCCAATAGAAAAGAAAAGAAAAGAACAAGCTTTATTGTTTTCACTTCATCATAGTGATTTTGGAATTAAAGTTTTGTTTTTTTAACACGGATTCGTTTCTGGGTACAGAGAATGGGAACGAGGGTGAGAAGAAGGATTCTTGGTCTGGATTCACTGAGTTCACCTTGGACCAACTGAGAAGTGCCACGTCAGCATTTTCACCGGAAAACATAGTGTCAGAACACGGTGAGAAGGCTCCCAATGTTGTCTACAAAGGAAGGATTGAAGATGATAGGTTGGTTGCTGTGAAGCGCTTCAACAAGTCTGCTTGGCCTGATCCTCGACAGTTCCTAGTTAGTGTTCCTCTCTTTTGCATTTTGTTAGTGATCCCTTATTAGTGTGATATGATTAGTGTATATAAATGTGGGGTAACCCTCACTTTGTGAGATAACTTTTAGGAGGAAGCACGGGCAGTGGGGCAGCTGAGGAATGAGCGGTTGGCAAACTTGGTTGGGTGTTGCTGTGAAGGAGAAGAGAGATTGCTTGTTTCGGAGTTTATGCCCAATGAAACTCTCTCCAAACATCTCTTTCACTGTGAGTTTCCATCATTCATGTCTTCATCAATCAACAAAAAAAAGAAAATAGTCATCGGCAAACAGATTGATGGCAATGTAGATAACTAATCTGCGCTCAGCAGACGTAGCTTTCGCCACATTTAGTTTAAGAAGCTAAATTAAGAGTTGCATTTGATTAATTTGTTTGCTCCCTCCCCATTTTGTTAATGTAGTATGAGAAATCTTGAATGTAGACCAATGATTTCTGATTTGTATGATATGAACTAATCTGGTAGGGGAGACTCAGCCTATGAAATGGGCAATGAGGCTGAGAGTGGCCTTGTACTTAGCACAAGCATTGGAGTACTGCAGCAGTAAAGGAAGGGCATTGTATCATGATCTTAATGCTTATCGAGTTTTGTTTGATCAGGTACTGAAGCTTTTATGACCAGGTTTATGCCCTGTCTAAGTCGTTATGTTTTATTAACTATGCCTCTTGTTGACATGGTATCAATGGTGGACAGGATGGGAATCCTAGGCTTTCTTGTTTTGGACTCATGAAAAACAGCAGAGATGGCAGAAGCTATAGTACAAATTTAGCCTTCACCCCACCTGAGTATTTGAGGACAGGTACTTTTTTTTTTTTTTTTTCGTTACAGAAGCTGACCTTGTACTAGGATGTCTTAAGATGTAATATATGTATTTCTGATGACAAGGAGGGGGTGAATTATGCGAGTAAAAGAGCAGTTGAGATTGCTGTACCCTTTACTCAAGCTAGTTGAATTATATGGTATTACTGTCTTATTTAGTTTATCCCACATTCATTTTGTTTGAGCAAAAAGTTCATTTCTCTTCAATTAAGGTAATATGAACTGACATATTCATCGGTGTAGCCTATAGGCATTGTATGTTTTTCTCCTTGTTGAAGTGAAAAATTGTTTATTTCAATATTGCTGTTAGTTTGTTATTATTGGATCATGGCCATATCTTTTTTGGTATGCTGATCTATACAATTTCTTAACTGAGCCAACACAGTTGTTTGAAATTTGGCAGGAAGAATCACCCCAGAAAGTGTAATTTACAGTTTTGGCACACTCTTGCTTGATCTTCTGAGTGGCAAGCATATTCCACCCAGTCATGTATACTCCCAGCTCCCTATTTTCTGTTTCAATTCAGTGACTTGTGCTTGAATTTTGTTGGGTTTACTGTAGCATCCTATGATAGATTGGCTCAAAATGGTTGCAACAATTATAGAGTTCATAAATAAAACGAGCGCATAATCTTTCAACATGTAGGCACTTGACCTTATACGAGGCAAAAACTTTTTGATGCTGGTGGACTCATGTTTGGAAGGTCATATTTCAAATGATGATGGAACTGAGATAGTGAGATTAGCTTCACGCTGCTTGCAGTATGAGCCTCGTGAGAGGCCAAACGCTAAGTCACTTGTGACTGCTCTAACTCCTCTTCAGAAAGAAACTTCGGTATGCTCTTCTTTTTCTCTCCCAGTTTTTTTTTTCCCTCTAAAGTTTCCTCTATCACAAGTTATTCAAAGATCAACGTAACTTGATTGGCCTGTATTTTACCATATTAGTGAAACAAGCAAAGCATTGGAATTTATTTGGTTTACATCTGGTGTTATTTATCAGGTTCCATCACAGGTTTTGTTGGGCATACCAGATGAGAGTATCCCATCAAAGGAAGAAGTTCCATTGACACCTTTTGGTGAAGCTTGTTCTAGAAGAGATCTCACTTCAATATATGAAATTTTGGAAAGGGTGGGATACAAGGATGATGAAGATGTTGCCAATGAGGTAATGAAATGTTTCCCCATAGGATTTATTCTTCTTTTGTTGTTCTATACAAGACTTTAATAGCTTCTTGATGCCAAATTTACTTGTTGGTAAACCTTGGTGTTTTTTCTTGAATTCTCGATATATATTGTGCAAATCTATCAAGTTTACCACCATCCTTTGAAAATTTCTGTATGTAACTTTTTAAGTGTTTCTTTCAAGTTTTAACTTCAATTCTTTAACAAGAGTTTTCCAATTTTCTCAATTGCTTTGGATATCAAGGTCTGATGCACTGTCAGATTCTTTTTTATTTCATATTAAACTAATAGTCTAATTTATTCAACAGTATCTGTATTTAGTTATAGCCATGATGTTTGCTAAATGACACTGGTTATAAATAACTGAAGACTGTTATATTTTAGTTTGTCATGAATTTATTCAATCAAACATGTGACAATACCATATTGCTGATGAGTTAGCTTGCCCGAAACTATCACATTTATTTAGAAAGAAAGTTTACTTCATTAGCACAGTGAAGAAGTATTGTTGTGCTGTTCTTATCAAGTTTTCCCTTCACTAACCTTGTACATTGTATTTTTGGCTGTGTCCTTCCTTTTTAACACAGCTTTCCTTCCAAGTATGGACAGACCAAATACAAGAAACACTAAATTCTAAGAAGCAAGGAGATTCTGCTTTCCATGCTAGAGACTTCTCTAAGGCCATTGAATGCTATACACAAGTAAGTCAGCTTTAAATTCGTGGATCATGAATCCATCATAAATCACCCAAAACAGCATGAGAATTCACTCTTTTGTACAAAATAAGTAACTTTTGATTATCAGCTTCATGGCAGACAAAGTTCATCTTTACTCTATTGAATTTTATGGGTTACTACTTACTATTATTTGGCTAGAACAGTGAATGATTAGCTTGTAGGGTAAAGGGATCAATGCTTAGGAATTATCAATTAGCCTTTCATTACTCACAAAACACACTCAATATAATAGACCGTTAGAAATATCATATTGACTAGTAATAGTAAAAATAATGTATATAAATAGTGAGCAATCTTCACTTAAAAGCCAATTTTGTAGAATTGAATTATGTTTAAACCTATATTATTAAAATGGTGGAAATCTCACATAATTGGAAGAAAAAGTGTGTTTTCTTTTTTTCCTTTTGTTTTTCTGAGAGAATTACCACTTGCTTGTTTTGTATAGTTCATCGATGGTGGAACCATGGTATCACCAACTGTGTATGTAAGGCGCTGCTTTTGTTACCTAATGAACAACATGGCACAAGAAGCACTGGGAGATGCCATGCAAGCTCAATCAGTGTCACCAACCTGGCCAACTGCATTCTATCTTCAAGCAGTGTCCCTCTTCAGCCTTGGGATGGACCATGATGCAGAGGAAAGTCTTAAAGATGGCACAACACTGGAAACAAGAAAACATAGAAATTGAAATGTACACAGTTTTTTTCTCTCCTTCATTTCTCGAGGAAAATATTACAAGCATTAGCTGTATGTATCCTTCTCTATCTATTGTTTTCTCCAACAGTTTTCAAACTCTCGATTGTCTATGCCACCTACAATTTTTTTCTTCTAAAAAAGTTGTGAAATTGCTCTAGTTCGTATAAAAATGTTATATTTTCTGGTCAGAATTGATTCAGAAAATGATTGCAAAACTTGAGAAAATGTTCACAAACTTAAAAAAAAAAATAGTATTTAACTATTTATCCGTGATTGCAAGACTTGAGGAAATTATTTTTTTTTGGTCTTCCCTGAGTATCTCCCTACTCTCAAATCAACTAATGTATCATGTATGTACATCTATTTCTGAAAGTACTACAGCTCACAAGTTGAAAGCCACAATTTTTTTGCACCTGAATATTGTAAAGATTTTTTTTAATCTTTTTTTTTATAAAAGATAATAATTATGTAATAAAACTAAGAGATTAGTTTCAATTTAGTCATTTAGAGTTATATACATTAACACATTATTTCTTTATATAATAAAAAAATAGTCAGCATATTTTTATTTCAAAAATTTAAACCATCATTATATGAATTTTCAGTGATTTGAGAACTAAATTAATTCCTCAATAATTAAATCTATAACAAAATTATATTTTATAAGTTTTTATCATCATTTTATTTTTCTAACAGTAAGGAATATAACATTTTAAATTTATGACTAACTAACTTAATGACAAAATTGAAAATGTTAATCAATAAATTGCGAGAGACTGTTATCAAGTTTATTGATGTTTGATAAGAGAGATTTGTGTAACTTGGTAGTATTAAGTTACAAAACGTGTGTTTGTGTGTAATGTCAAATTCTTTAACACGAATTTGTAGTAACTCTACATATTTATAACTTTCTTTCATTATTTTCTTAATTGTTTTATTAATATATATAAATAAATAAATATATATATTGATATTGCTCAAGGAGATGGGATGAGATGAGGTTAGTGATGCTGTCTGATAGTTTTAGTTTCATGGTACATATCTTACGACTCTCCGCTTTGCAGAATTCTATGACAATTTTATCATCAGAGTTCAAGTATTTATTATGACAATCATTAGTACACATTTTTACTACCTATCTCATACCCTTAGCACAAGACTAGTGTTGCCCTCGTGCATTTGATTTTCGCATTGGTAAACTGGTCACAAAGTGAGCCTGATTAACGAAAGCACTGCAGGTTCAATTTATCATAAAATCAAGATGCTACTATTATGTGCTAGCATGCAAAGGCACTCGTTTTAAATAGTAACGAACTAACGATCAAATTTAACCCTATCATATGCAGATAATCTCCGTCCTTTGGCACTAATTAATTCTTCTTTTTTCCTTTTTTTTTTCGGATTAAAGGGTCAAAGCCCAAAGAATTACAAACCCCTAGGAAAAACTACAGAACTACCATTAGCCAGGAAAGCTAAATATAAAAAATGGGGAACAACGTCATAAACTCGAAATTGAGATGGAATGTTAAATCTTAGTCATAATGTCAGCTGGTTGGTTGACTTACCAGGGGACATGATTAAGACCCCCTTCTTGGAGAAAGAATAATGATGATCCAACTCTAAAACGATGCTGATTTAAATCAGCATCGCTGAAGGATACGGATACCAAAGTGTGTTCATAAAAAGTTCAAATCTACAATCAACACACCAATTAATAACTAACCTGATGAATATGTAGATTTGGTGTTTACTATAATGGAAAAAAATACAAATAAAAAGGTCAAAGACAACACAAATCAAGCAAGAAACATATCCATCCGGATTACTCCCTCAGAGCACGTTTGAAGGTGCAGAGTTCATTTCACTAAAATATAAAAAGAAACAAACTTAAAAACCTTGCATGAATGAGCAAGCAATATTTCATGGTTGATTATAAAAGGTTACCATAGTCGGAAAACAACTATGTGAATTGAAAATCAACCCTAAAGCATGAGATGATGTGGATGACCTAAAAACCCAATGTCACCAGAAAGCATCAACTTGCTTCAGTTTCAACTTTTAAGCCACTGTCTGTTGAGCTCATTACGTTTGTTGAGCTTTCTGGTGCTTTTACTACATTTGGTAGGTACTTCCAACAGCGCTTGTGAACTCCACTAATTTTTTTTGGAGCATCTGCTATTGGCAAGCCTGCAATAAGTTGTATGATATCAAGTCAGGCCAGAAAACAAGTACTAAAAATTGTTTTAGTACTCACGCAATGCTTAATACAATATACGGTTTGTTTTGGGTACATTATGTTGCACACAGTATTCACTGTCAGAATTTATCAAATAAAGCTTCCAAGTTCTAATAAGCAACAGAAACAAAACTTGTTATAAACAAAATTTATAGATTTAAACAGAAATCATAATTAATTTGACATGGAATATGAAGAAACAGGAATAGAAGGTTGACCACTGAAATGTATGCAAATGTAATAGAGTGCGTGTGTGGCACCCATGCTCAATCATCTCACAAGTTTTTTTCAAGCCCAAAATAAGTGTTGAAACACTCTTGAAGTTCACCTAGGCAAATTTAGACCTGTTCCTTTTGAAAAAACAAGCTTTAGAAGCGCTCTCAAGTCCCAACAGTTCTATCAAAATGCATAAAGATATATTTACAATTCTCGTTTTCAGCAGCTGTTAGAATGGGTGAAACGGAGAACTATTTGGTGTCCGAATAGTGACACGAAATCTGAAGAGGTTCTATTAAAGTAGACTAAGCCAAGGGCCAGCATAATTGAGAATCAATTTGGCATTATGCCAACGAGGACAACCATGCAAGCTAAATGAATGCATAGACGACATAAAGCATCTCAGGCAATCACTAGAAAACCCCATGTGAGAACATAAATTCCAAGTATTATCATAAACACTGCAGCAATATTGCTCAGAAGCGGAGACAAGCATAGGAAGTCTTTAACAAAAGTCACACAAATGAAGCATCAATTAAACAGTTTTCACTTTCTGGGTCATTGTAAATTGTAATTGACAGAAGCACACCTGTTTAATTGGCAACTCAAAAGGGCAAAGAAGCCAGCCCAATCAGATAAAACACAAACACCTCAATGAAAGACTCCCTACACTTTTCACTAATCTATTATTTTATTGATTATGGAAAAATCCGCGTTGATAATCCTCTTAAGTGTTTATTATAGATGATAAGTGTTTATAATAGACTGATTATCCTATATGACCTAGGCAAATTCCTATGTAAAGAAAGGCATTCTTATCCTAGCCTACATTGTTATTGAAAAATAGTAGAGGAGCATGTGATTATCACTGCCTTCGACAAACAAAATCAGCTGTGCATAAAAGAAATGAAAAAACAGACTAAAAAAAAGAGTCAAAAACAATGCTAACACAACTTAGGACACTAACGAACCATTTTTATAAGCAATCCCCCATGCTTTTCCATGTCTTCCATCCTGCAAAAAACATACACAAAATAAAATAACAAAAGGAGACTATAGAATTCATGAGAACTGAGAAAAGTGAAGGAATATATCAGTATCATTGTGAAATGCGCGTCTGAAATGGTTGAAATCCAATACGAAGGATCGAAGGTAAAGAAAAGAGTTGAATATCGAAAGAGAAGCACCTTGTAGAGATTGAGTTTGGTGATTTCGTAAGAAACCTCGTTCCAGTGAGTCTTGGCCATGTGGTAGCCGATTCCCCAGTTAGGCAAGAACTGAGCCACCTCGAACAAGTTCTTCTTTCTTCGCTTCGATTTCTTAGGGTTTTGAGCAGGAGCAGAAGAAGAAGAAGAAGAAGAAGTAGAAGAACTGAAGGCTCTGATGAAGTTGAGTGAAAATCTAAGTAAAGAAGAGTTTCGAACAGATTCAAGTCTTGCACCCAACGCACTCGCCATTGATTTTGTGTTAAAATCCCTCTGGAGAAATCAGAGATTGAAGCAAGTGTCAAAAATGTTAGAGACGGGGAAATGGATTGGACCAAATGTCGCAGAGACTAATGTTACCTGAAAAGTGTCCAAAACGCAGCGCCGGAACAAGCCCGGGAAAGACGTGAGGATCGCCCAGGCCTTCAAGGAGTGAAGTTCCCATGGATTGGGCTTATGGGTTTTTTCCACTTTCGGGCGACCAAGCCCAACCCAGCTAGCTTAACAGTGGGCTAAGTTAAAACAATTTGAAAGATCTAGGAACAATGCTAACAACACAGCGCTTTTAATTGTTAATAGGGTGTGATGTGAGACTAATTAAAAATTTGATAATATGATTATCCTATACGAGTAAAATAAATGTTTTTTTTTTTATTTAAATAAACTAATCACAAACTAAAATTAAAAATAATGCTCATTTTTATAACTTAGTATTGTGAAACACGAAATTTGTTTTGAACCTTCCGGCTCTTGCCCTAGCAGACATTCGTTAAATCGTTCCAAGACTCCCTCGCCGGCCACCGCACCTCCTCTGTTAGGTATTTCATGGCTTCTCTGCTCTGTTTCTCGCTTTCATTCTTCCCCACTTTTATACGTTTATTTATTTAAACTCATTCTTCTCAAGACCCTTTTCTAACGATTGATTTACGAACACACCTAGTTGTGCGTTTCGCTTATGAGATGGAAACCTCGTTATGAAATCGCGAAATCTGGGACTAGAAACATGAGGGATACAGGCAAAAAGTGTTAGGTTATGTGGTGAATCAATGAAGCAAAATATTATTGCTATGATTCCTTTGCTTGTCAATTAATTTGTTCCAAGAGGCTATTTGGAAATTCTGTGTTTTTAGCTTTTCTGTGTCCTCTTATTTTGTTTAATCTGCATACTTGTTTGCCTAAATTGTAAAAATAACCTTCCGTTCAGCATTTGGTGGATCTAGTTCATATACTTTTAAACAATAATCCGATTCTAATGTCCCATTATCTTATTCATGTTGTCTTATAGTCCAAGAGTGTCATGGTACAACACTACAACATCAATAACCTCATTGCATTCCATCCCCCTAAGCAATAATTATTTATATAAACAATAAAGAAGATAATTAAAGACTATAAAGTGGAAGAATTATGATATAGTATACAAATTCATTTAAAGAATTTGATAGTATACACACAAGTTGTTGTTTACTGACTTACTACTACTATCTTACACAAATCTCTCTCATTAAACTTCAATAACATATTCGAGTGAATCATAAAGCATAGGGTTTATTTGCAGCATACCATCAACATCAGCAGTAGCACTTGTGTGTTAGATGGTTCATTCCTTTTAGTTTTAGATATTCTGAAAATATTCTTGTCTTCCTGTAATCCTTGATTTTCATTATCTGAATTCATCGTCTAATTTTTTTAGGGAATTTTCAGGGTACAATGGCTGCCAACATGTCACCTTCTGCATTTGATAAAGAACAGGTTGGTGTTCTTTTCTCTTCTTCCGATTATGTAAATGCTGATTTGGTGGTTGATGTTGTTAATTTGACACCCCATTTTGATTCCAAGTTTAAATTTGTATCGGGTGCTATTTGATTATTTAGTTTTTCTTGTTTTTGGATGTGTTTCAAAATTCAATAATTCATTTGGTAATGGAGCAGATATTTGGAATGGCTGAAAAGGAGATGGAATATAGGGTCGAATTATTCAACAAGTAGGTGTCCCTGCTTTTGCTGTTATAACATAGAATTGACTGCATTTTGTTTAAGATTTGTTGGTGAATAATTCATTGGTTAACCTTTTGTTGTTTTTACCGTTCAGGATGACCCAGACCTGTTTCAATAAGTGTGTTGACAATAAGTAGGTCTTCTAATCGCGTAAACTGCTACAAGTGTCATGTTTGATGCCCCTCAAATGTCTTCCAGTTATTTGGAAATTAGTTTCGTATTACTCAAAAAGAGTAGTCTGCTGTTGCATTATTTTGGTCATGGACCAATGAGGGTGTTATAATAATATCTGTGTATTACATTTTTCTTCTCAGGTACAAGGAGTCTGAGCTAAATATGGGTGAAAATAGTTGCATTGACCGCTGTGTTTCAAAATATTGGCATGTAAGATGTTACTTAAGTTTACTTTTGATGTTTCACAGGCACTTTTTGAGTTGTCTATTTGTTATTCTATTCCATATTATTCTTTAGGATAGTTTCTCAGCCAGATGTTTCAGGATGAATCTTAGTGGAGTTTTGTATGTGTGGCTCATGAAAGTTTTGATTTCAATATGGTGGTGTTTTTCTTTTAATACTATTGGAATATGCAAATGTTGACCTTAGTGATTATCTAATTGTTTAAGCATTTTCTTTGCTAGGTGACTAGTCTAATTGGTCAACTGCTTGGTTCTGGGAGGCCTCCGATGTAATCCAAGTGTCCTGTCGTGTTTTCTTTTGCGTTTAGCAATCTGTGATTCACATCTTCGATATTGATAGCTGATTCCTTGTAAATTTAATACTTTGCAAGGTCTTTATTTTTTTGCATGACTATTTTGAGGCAATCTGTTTTTGTTAAGAATTAAGAAAATGATTGATGAGTTTTTAAGGCAGCCAATGATGAACAATAAAAATAATTTTAGTTAATTTAGTGCACTCATCATTTCCAATTTATGACTTTTGGCTCTACCCTTAGTTTATCTGTGCTTTTCAATCAGATTTATTTCAACTTTATCATCTTGCAACAGTATTGCTATTTTTTTTTTTATTTATTTTACATTATGCAGTTAGAAACTTTGAATGTTTGCTTCCTTTTCCTTTTCAAACTAAATTTGCTTACAATTTTTTGTCCTCCACTCAGATTATCACGAGATATATACCATAAATTCAAATTAATTTATTTATAACTAGTCGTTTTCCAAAAAAGAAACTCGTCGCTATGCTTCTATTACAGGATTTTTATTTATCAAATATAGTAATAGTATAGTTAATTAATTGTTCAGCAGTTTTTTTTGAATAGGTTCTGATGTCAAATTGTCAAGTGTCTTAACACTTGTTGAAAACGTGTAAAATTTAAAATGTGTTAGAAATTAAAAAAAAAATATTTAGTTGCTTTTACAATATTTAACGAACAAAAAACACTCCTGGATATTTGCTTAATAATTATATTATTACATTGAGTGGAAAACAAATAGCAGCTATGGGAGTATTAAAAATAAACAGAGGGTATTGTATCATAACTTTCATTAAAACTCATTGCTCAAGTGCGATTTTTTTCTTCTTCATATTTTAGCATTGTTATTATATAAGTTTCAAACTATTACTATTTTTGTTGCTAACGAGTTCAGATTAAAAAAGTAACCGAACCATATTCCTAATTTGAACATTGGAGTCTCTACATGTGATCACACATTTGCCAACTACCTCGACACCTACGTGACAAGCAACCTTGCCTGATTACCATGAACCGACCCAAGCTAGGCAATATCACGTGAGAACCAAAGAACAACGCCAAGGTTATGCCATTTTCAAGACTTAATCCTCTGCATCATTGTCCGTCCACAAATTGCGTCACTAGTCTAATTATGAAATGAAATAATTCTAGCATAACACAACTTACACTGGCCATATCACAGCGTGTAATCTGATCGGTGACACGTAAATTAATTAGCACGAAATTATTCAGATACACATCAAAATTAAATATTTAGATAGAAAATTTTGTACTCAGTGCTCTCGGCCCTAACTTACAACTTACGTAAGAGAATCACTTCATTTGTCACCTCTTAGATATATATACACCAATATCTCTCATTCTCATGCGCTTTTTATCCCTTACTTTGTTAGTTCTTATTTCTTACTAGTAATTTGGAGCTAAACGACCATTTTAGAGCACTTTTACAAATTATTTATCAAAATTTGGTTGTTTTAAAACATATTACACCTTTGGGACTGTTTTTTACGGTGTCGCTATGGCCCATAGCGACACTTATGGCACGTGGCAATTTTGTAACTCCAGCGAAGCCATGAAAGTCATATTGATAATATCGCTACAGCCTATAGCGACACAAAACAGCTCCACTAAAGACGCTATAGCCTACAGCGTCAAATATTTAATATAAAAAAAAATTTATTATAAGTAAATACTTTTTAAAAAAATAATTTGTGAAAGTGGCACTATGGCCTATAGCGACACTGTGTCGCTATGGGTGTAACGACCCACCCTAGGCCGTCACATCAATAACCAACCAAAATAAAATAATATAAAATAAAGAAAATAGAGCAAAAGCCAGCTACGCTAGAGTGTAATTATACAATAACATAAATTGTTTCCAAAATATATATAATTTTTTTAACTTATTTAACATTACTTATGGATAACAGGATTGTAGACGACGATGATAGATGAGGAGATAAAGAAACACGTAAGTTAAATTTGTCATACCGAAAAGTAAGATTCGAAATTTAATTTTAGAACAAGGGATTGAGAAATATCTCACTCAGTTTCAGGTGTACAAATAACAGTTAGCCAACACACACACAAATCATAACAAGCACATCCATAGCTACACATTAATCAGGTGCAAAATTCAAATTATACATACAACGATAACACATGCACGGTCATTCATCATGCAATGATGTCATGGACTCGACTCATAAATGCATGCATCTAGCAACAGTCACGTGTCTCATAATCACATATCACGTGGTATGCTACCAAAGCAACATACCTAAAGTAGTCTAGGAATACATGTCGGCTCAATCGTGCACTCTCAACTAGAAGGATGTACTACTAGGGTCTTATCGGGGATAGCAAAGCCGTGCAAGATACGTCCCATGCACACAAACGAGCAGAACTGGGCCTTCCAAACCACACTATCCCCTAGGACTCCTCCAAGATGTTTCACAGTTGGAGGGTTTTCCCTAACGATGTACTCCATATCATACTTCGTCATATAAATGCATATAAATCATGATGCATGTCACACATTCACAAACTCATGAACTCATCACTTTACTTGTCACGAAATTTCATGTCTTATCTCATTTCATCACATTTCACATTCTCATAGTCGTAGTGTTCACAATAGCAAAGATTGATCCATGGTTGCCTAGAGCAACACCGACAACTCCCTGAGCATATAGGCCTTATGGCCAACTAGAATTGGTAATAACTATCTAGACAGCTACTTATTCTATGAATAAGATTCATATAAAATTGACACTAAAAGACATTTTATGTCTGTTATTTTGGACTTTTAACATTAGAAAAAGTCCGACATCAATGCAGGAGACGTAAATTTACGTTGGGTGTTTTTATAATCGATGAGAAATGGTTGACAAACCAAAAAAAAAAAAAACCTTGTCAATCCATGAACACGTCCAAAAAATACCCAAATGCTTCAATCTAATCGGAGAGATAGGTCCAAAATAAAGAATGGGTCTTGCTGTCGTGCATCGTGAATGGAAAAACGTCCAAAGGTCTCGCACAGTTGTCGCCGAAAATCGCTGGAGAGGAAAGCAGTGTCAAGACACTCGTGTGCAGGAATAAAACAACATTTTTACACAGAAAGATCAATACACACATGAAAACACTAACTTCAATCCATGAAAACGCCTAAATGATTCAACCCAATTGGAGAGATAGGTTCAAAATCAAAAATGGGTTTCGCTACTGTTATCGTCGCTGCTCACATTGTTGTCACCGCTCACCGTGAGCGAAAAACACCCAAAGACCCGACAAAAATCGCACCACCATTGCCAGAAATCGCTAGAGAAAAACCCTAGAGGAAAACAATGGAAAAACACTTACGTGCACGAAAAAGATGAAGGTGCTAGGGAAATAAAACAACTTTTTTACGTCAAGCCAAAAGGGGTCCGATGTAAAAAAATTTAGATTAATTTAAAAAATGTCACTGTGTATTTTTTACGTTGGGTATTTTTATAACTGATGAGCAAACGCTGACGTAAACAAATGATTTTCCACTAGTGGGACCCAGATTCTATTATTGACACCATAGATTCTTGAACCCATTTAACAATTATAACCTAGTATCTCAAGCAATGGAGTGTAAGCTTCAATTCTTTATGCTTCTAATGAACTTAACCATGTGTTCTATTTCTTTGACTTTAGGAAAATATTGAGCATGTCACTTTCTAGACTCTTGGCGTGGGAATACAACCAATTGACTATCATTAATTCAAAAGAAAATATGTGAATTGTTGAATTTGCTTTTGTTGTTATAATATTTGCTTTGACCCCGAGCCGTGTTGAAATTGACATGATGATCACATCCTACTTCTGTTTATAGCTCTTATTGGGCATGTCACCTAGGTATGCTGACACAATTGAAACTGATTCCTTGCCTTTAATTATTACTTGTTATAAATAATTTATTACTGCACATTAAAAGATTTACCGTTTTCTTGAATATTTGTTGCAAGAAACAAAAAAGTTAATGGTCTCTGGCTTGGGAGACTGTAGTGTGTATACTGTTTAGGCAGTGAATTCAATTACAGTACACTGTTTTCTCTCATCTTGATATCAATGCTCAAAACAAAAATAAATTGGAAGAAAGGGAATCATCAATTCACAAAGCTTTTTATTCTTTTAAGATCAAAGTGGAGGGAATGATTTCATCAGTAGAAACAAAATTCAAACTTTCACAAGAGGAACTTGATTACCTTTACATTTCAGGCTTCATTTTGGCAAGTTAGTTTGGATCTAGACAAGAGACAAGGAGTTTTGAAGTATTTATCGAGAATGTCAAAACTATTGATTTTAATTATATTATATTAAACGAATTATATATAAATACTGAAAATGCAAGGCGTTATGGTCCATAGCGACACAGTGTCGCCATGGGCCATAGCGCCTCTCTTAAAAATTACATAAAAATTTATTTTATAATTACATTTTTAAAAAACTTAATTTTATTTTTATAAATATATAATAAATAACTCAGTTTATTATTTTTATTTTATATTTCTATTATTTTTATTTTTTTCTTTTTTTTTCTTAGAGGGTGTCATTATGGGCTACATCATTTTTGTTAGTCCATCAACTATGTTGCCCCAGCCTATAACGACACTGATGTGGCTCATTCCAGCCCACCCTAGACCAAAAAAAAAATTACCACGTGTTATAGGTGTCTCTATGGGCCATAGCAACACCGTAAAAAATAACTCCAAAGGTGTAATATGTTTCGAAACAACCCTATTTTAGTAAATAGTTTGTAAAAGTGCTCTAAAATGTTCGTTTAGCCAGTAATTTGGACATCAGATTCTGCAGCACCACCTTGTGTTGCACCAATACTTGGACAACGATCATCCTCATCACCATCATCTCACCCCAATTAGGGACACGTAAACTATTTCAAATCTCGCCATAATGCTTCTGATGTGCTCGTGTAAGCCGACAATTTCATCAAATAGCAATTTGCCTCGTGTTCAATGGCTTGTATATGCCACAATATCATTTTATCCTGAAAATTCAGATATCTTTTAATATTGATTAAATTGTGACAGGTCTTGTTAAATACTCTGAATTCAATCTTTATTATAGTGCACTGAAGACCAAGTTGACGTAGGAAGTAGGAACCATAACCACCTTATACAAACCCCCAATAAACGAAATGACCTGTTCCATGCAATCTTTCATTTTCATGCAATTAAAAATATATTTTTTGCATGGTTACAACCAGAAGCTTGATTCTATATTTCATTTCACTATTTATGAAGACTATGAGAGTATTGTAAGAGATTTTCTTCTATACATATTATGAAGCAGAGGTTTTCAACCAATGCCCCGAGCACAATCAAGCAGGGACAAGTGCCTATTCTTTAAAAAGAATATCCAGGAGATTTTCAAAAACCTAGGATAAACTTTCCTCCTTTTAATGTATTTAGCAAACACCCCTGACACTAGGGCCAGATATGAAGCTATAATTACGGTGCCTTCCCAATGCAATCATGAGCTCCTTAGGAACTCCCAAGGTCCTGACCCCGTTCCAATCCTGCATCAGCATAGATCATTTATTAGTTCATTGATTTAAAGAAATTGCCTTGAATCAAAGTTGAGTGTGACAACTGACAAGTGTCTTGACAGTGATTATTTCAATTAGGTGGAAAACATTAGGAAAACAATAACCCTTTAAAATTAGTACCTCGAGAAGCCAGCAAATGCCCTAAGACCCATGTAGATAGTCAAAGCAACCCAAATTCCGATGAAACCACCAGCGGATGACAAAATAAGAAGACAAATTATGCTAAGAATGGCCACCAAAACCTGAGTTACCATAATGAAGATATCACATCATAAGCCCCAAAATCGATACATATCATATAACATTAAACATGGAAGAAAATACCCACCATGGATAAGGCTGAATATGCAAAATCAGATGCCCCAAAGTTGATACCATCAAATACAAATGCTAAAGAATTCAGGGGTTGAGTGGCTGCAACAAACTGGTAAAAGAATGCACATGAATGTAAGTTCCACTGCTTTTGGGGTTGGAAAGATAGGATACTAATATCCTATCCAATTTGAAAATGCATAATTACCGGGATCCCAATTTGAATGAGGTGAAGGACATCAGCATCTTTTGTGAATAGCTTAGCACCAAAGTGCAATCCTGTTCCAAGAATGAATGCAAGTGCCAATCCTAGAACCAAACCCATCTGCAGTATAATAGTGTCACATTTACAAGATATGTCTTGCAAAAAGATGGTGATTTCATTTAGCATTCTAAAGCACCTGCAAAACTCGGGATGCAGTTGCCGTGGCCCTGTCGTAGTCCTTATTAGCAAATGCTCCGGCAAGAATCGCCTGAAACAAACATGGTGTTATTTTGGAAGCTATAAACTAATAGAAGCACACTGATTAAAAGAAGGGAAAAAATAATTGCCTTTTTGTTCTGTTTCAGGATGGCAAACGGCATTATAAACTAATATATCCCGAGGATGTGAGCACATTGCCCAACCTCATTAAATCGTTTGTTTTTGTGTGTGAGGGCTTATTCTATTCTTTTAGAACTCGGTTGATATAGCTAACAAATATGTTATCATTCCACACTGAATATTCAATTGGCCACTGAAAACATGCCAGAATTATGGCATCTTTAGTTCATTTCATACCAAACAAAGCTTTTTCCAACTTAATCAGTTTTCTTTTTCTCACAGGAAAGTGGGCATCGAAAAATGAATACAAACAATCAATCATGTTATCCAAAACCTTTTCAGCTTTTGCATTCAAGAAAACATTTTAGTAGAGGTCATTGATATTTTATCCAATGATTTGATGTGAAAACATCATGAAGTAACATAGCAAGGTGTTGTATTTATTGGACAAAGTAATTATATCTAACCTGCCCAGCAACAGCTAGACCATCAGCAAGAAGAGACACTGCCAACCAAACCTGCAAACATACTTGAAATGCTGCCATGGATGTTGATCCTTGCCTTGCTGCCAATGATGCAGCCAGCGTCACACAGAATGTTACAGCAATGACTCTCATTAATAATAGAAAACCTGGATGACAACAGCGAAATAGGAATGGATAAAGATAGTGTCAAGTCTCAAAGCTAAAGTGTTAGTTCACGTATACAGCAATTAGTAGGAGCATCAATTTGAACAAAGAGGATACAAGAAAACACCATATAAATTTCCATAAGAAAAAATTGATTCTACAAAATTTATGATTCATTAAATAACATGAAATAAGGTAATATAATATTGCTAGGAAAAAGCAAATACATCTTGGTAAATAATTTTAATTATGGATTGGAGTGTGACATCTTTATACAAGAAAGTAACATAGCTTCCTCGCCCTGCCCTGCCCCTCGCTCTTATATTTTTGTAGATCATTTGGTCTTGCAAAATAAACCCTTACCATTTTTAAGAAATCGGTCAAATTGCATATGCTTCATGCTTGGAGGTATAAGGTCAACTTGTTCCAACAGCCTCCACAGGAGTATAGCTGAAATCAGGTACCTACGTAGTTAATTTGAAAACAAAAGGTAATTAGAGTCATCCATAAAGTGCCTTGTGGAGTCATCCATACTTTTAACAAGAGTAATTAGAGCATTTGAATTACAGTTGAATAAAACATACTGAGATATGACGTGAGCAATGGCTGCACCACTGACACCCATGCGGAACACAAACATGAATAAAGGATCTAGTGCTATGTTGGTTACATCTCCTGCCACTAGATACATCAAAGAAAGAGTAGTTAGAATCGGATGATAGTGAAATATTGTGACACTTGATCAATGACAATTTAAGTTTGACAAGGCATACCAGTCGCATATAAGGGAGTTTTAGTGTCTTTAAATCCTCGGAAGACTCCCTGCATCGCTAATGAAAGAAGAACGGCAGGAGCACCAAGGGACCTCAATGTCAGATACTGCTGGGCAGGATGTAGCATAGGAGAGTCCTGAATGAATAATCCATATTATTTGGCAATCATTCCATACAAGAACCAATCACTAAAGGAAAAAGTGAAAAAGTGCTATCATCCTAAAAGTAACATTTCTTAATATTTATGCAGAAAGACTTACAGAAGTCACTCCCATGAAGTTCAATAAAGGTTTTGCTGCAACTATAAGAAATATTGCCTGGATGAGTCCAAGAATGCCACCAATAAATAATGCTGATGAAGCTGAAGGAATATGCCTTCTCTTATGTTCCTCCTTAACCATATTAAAACTTTCGCCAACAAAATCTGAATTGTGAACATTTCCACCTGAAACTTACCAAGAAAATGAAATGGTCTAAATTGGCAATGTACAAAACCTTTTATTGGTTTTCCTATATAGCAATAAGATAATGCTCTATAGTGGAAGGAAGCCAAGAGAACCTGGCTGAAACCAAACCTATAACAAAAGAATGGGAGAATGGTACCTTTCTGTGGTAATAACTCTTTGGATTCAGCATCCATAGGTGGACCTGCTTCCAAGCATCTACTGTCCTCTCTCTCAGGGCTTGCTTCACTGAGGGAATCTTCCTCAGCCACAAAAGAGGTTGTAACACTGACAAGTGGGAATATTGCGATCCGTGATACTTGGTTGAAGAGAGCTATGGAAACACCTACAGCAGCAAGCTCGATTGGACCTGCATGGACCAATAATATTCAACACTAGATGTATTATAAGATATTCAAATACTGAATACATATAAGTCAAGTAGTCTTGATCATATCATTGGGTATTTTCCTTTCTGATTTAAACAGTCACCCCATCATTTGTTTCATATAAGAGATGTGTGTAATAGGCTCAAAATTCATAAATCAACAACAGAACTAACCTATTTGACCAATAAAAGCTGTGTCAACCAGTGAAGCAATAGGATCAGCTGTCAAAGCCATTGCTGCAGGTAATGCAATTGACAAAATTTCCCGACCAAGACTGTCTGCTTTAAAAACTAGTCTGCCGTGAAAAAAACAAATCCAAAGTTAAATCTAGAAGAATGTCACCATTAACTGCTGGAAGAAAAAAAAATTGAACTCAAACAGAAATAAGGTAAAGCCTCCCAATAATACACACACATGCGTTCATCATAATATCTCAGCAAGCATCACCTCTTAGGTTGCTAATTAGGAGCGAGTGGAATCGGAATTATCGATCATGCGGTGAAATTAATATCATTACAATACAGCAGATGGAAATTTTCAGGAAAAAAGAAAATATCATTTAGCCTTTTCAATTAGAACATGCGTTCTTCAAAAACAGATGCACTACTGAAATGCTATTGTATTATAAATTATGTATTCATATACATATCATACCTGGCATCCTTAAAGAAAGTGCAAATTGGTATTCTCCTCCAATCACCTAACCAATACATACTCTCTTTCTCAGCCATCTCTGGGAAGCGAAACTCACTGTGTTGTTTGAGAAACCAAATGAACCGAGTGACAAGAAGAACCTATTGAGGCTGATACAAAAATGAACAAAAGATACAGAAGGAGCTCCAATATGTAACATGCGTTATTCTTTTTGCTTGAACTTTAACATTTTGAATATCATAAACTGCACAATATCTCCGAATTTAAGTGGTTAAACACGGGCCAACCAATCAAGTCAAGTCCTAATAATGGAATCGCATCATGGAATAGGGATAGACTCCACAGTGATGAAAAGTTAGTAAAGGAGATACCCTTTTATATTCTTCCCCTCTTGCATAGAATATAATACCACCTCCCCTCACTATGAACAAAAAAAACCACTAACTATAAAATCCACATAAGGATGAAAAAGGTTAACAAAAGAGAGTCACCCACATGAAAATCACTATAAGGAGAGTTCCTTTTTTAAACAAAAAACAGTTTTCTATATCTGGTTGCTTAATATTCAAACTTGGGCAATTGAGCTTTGAAAGAGTGCCAAACGAACCAATTAAAAGTAAGACGCATAAACTGCACACTGAATCCTTTATTACAATGTTTGAAATAAAGGAAGTGAGGTGCCCCTAAATTGGGGTGAACAACAACAGAGTTAGGCCGTTACCATAGCATAGCATAACATGGCATGTCGATGTCATGAAATATGCATGGTGATGGAACACTGAGAATAGAACAAGGATCGTTTGAGGGTGCAATAATATGAGAAAGAGGTGTCCACAGATATCATGTGGGCCCGGGTTGTGTTGGAGTTTGGGTTTGTTGGTTGGGGCACTTAATGGAACCAGAAGCACCTCTTGTGTGCTATGAATTGCTAAAACATGTGGCAGTTCTATAATCCAGAGAAACGTTACGTTGACATCAAAGTCTCGAAGTCTTGAAGTGCCATTGCATGTTTACCAACGATTGCCACGTGTCCTCACATAGTCCACCTTTTAATGGGATGATTCTTTCTCATGAAATCTCCATTTCGATTCTCTCTTCAAAAATCTTCATAATTAAATTTTATACTATACTTTTTTAATTATTTAATTATTTTTCTTATTTTAAAGTAAAATAATAATAATATTTTACTGAGCAGAAATATTTCATGAAAAAACTGGCAATACATTAAAGACGAATCGTTAACCAGTGGGAGAGTGTTTTAAAGATTTTCTTTCAATGAGAAAAGTTGAAAGAGCTTTTTTAACTTTTTATTAAATTTAATTTTTACTTATTATAATTACGTATGAATTAAATATTAATATTTTAAATAAATTATAAAAAGATAAAAAAATTTATAATATAAATTATTTATTATAAATCTAAAAAATAACTTATATGTTTAAGAATATTTCTTTTTATAAATTTTAATATGACTAATATTTTAGTCTATATAATATATAATTATATATAATAAATGTGTTTGTGCATTACACAACTTAAAATACTCATTTTTAATATATATATATATTTGTTGATTTATTAGGAAGTATTCTTGTTGAACTGTGACACACTTTTCCTTAAGAATTTAAGGATTATCAAATTGATAAATATTATCTTCAAATTTGAGTTTTTTTTATGTTCACAATAATTAATATGTGATCTATGACCACTTGACTAAGCTTTTACGACTCGCATCGATCGCACCGATCCAAGCTTATATATATATTGATTAAGATGAATTAAAAGAAAAATGGTTACATGTAATTGGCTCATATAAAAGGTGAGAATTTCAAATATCCCCTGGGCCATAAAAATTTGTGGGATTGAATTATATTTGTTTTTATTTGTTAGGACTATTCTGATTCGAATTCAACCAATCAAGATTTGATAAATTGGGAATAAAATTAAATTAATTCAATTTATTATAATATTATATCAAGTATAATATTGTGTCTGATTAAATTATAAAATAAAATATTATATTAAAGTATATTTTATAAAAATAAAATATATTATACAAAATATATTGAAATATATTAAACATACAAAATGGCTCTTTTAAATATATATTAATTAGTTTTATAACCCAAACTAGTTTATAAGGGAAGAATATGGCAAGTCAATAACACAGCGTGTGGCTTGTTGATCGACTTTGGACATAGTTGACACTGCGAAGATGTCACTTGCGGGTCGAGTTGCTGGCGCCTCCTCCTGCAAATCCTCCAGCAATGGTGTTGATTACACCTCGTAGGGGGGCCTAGTTGGGTTTCGAGCTAGGCTATGGTTGGTCGGCATGCCCGGTGTTGGGTTTGGACCTAATAGCTTGATCGTGGCGAGAGTGATATCCTCGCCCTCTTCTGCGTCCCCGTCCAGTGTGCCCTCCTCTATTGGCTTGGGATCGTTGGACATATTGTCCTAGATGACCGGCCTGTACGAGCTCTTCGATTTTTTCGCGAAGTGTCCAACACTCTTTAGTAGTGTGGCCTAAGTTGTGGTGGTACCGGCAGTGCTTGGACTTGTCGACGTTCGCCAGGGTGTGCGCCGGAGGTGGCAGGGAGATGAGGTCAGTATTAGCTACCTCGTCAAGGATGTGGATGCAAGGTGTGTTTAGGGAAGTGTAAAAATCGTACCTTGGTCCCTTACCTTGGCGTGATCACTTGAAGTTGGTCTTGTTGGAGACCCTGAGCTTTTCCTTATGGTTGGTGTTGTTGCCACTGCCTGGTTTTGCGCACATTTTGTCGCGAAACTCGGCATGCTCCTCCATCTGTATATACCCAGCAGCTCGTGCCCATAGGTCGTCCATGTCGTTGGGTGGTCTTCTGCAGAGACTATCAACGAAAGGGCCCGGTTTGAGTGCCATGAGTATGGAGTGCAGTGCGACCTCGGGGTTGAGGTTCCGAATATTCACAGACACGTTGGCAAAGCGTTCCATGAATTTGTGAAGGGACTCGGTGTCTCCCTGCCTGAGGTAGGCCAAGGCAGCCGAGGTGATATGATGTGACTGCCATTATTTTGGAATAATTAGAAAGAAAAGAAAAAAATATTGAGAAGACCACTTTGTGAGTCACTATGAAACGGAGTGGACCATAACCAAATCCATTGTCTGCATATAAGGGAAAAAGGTTTCAATTGAAGCTATGGGAAATCTTAATTGAAAATCGAGCTTTGAAATTTGAAACATGTATAGACAAGCGGTGTATGCATGATTGAAGGACTTGGATGCACCATTACTTAATTAGTTTGATAATTTTTGTTTGGATCATGTAGAAAAAATCAAAATGACGAAACCTGAGATAAGGAAAGAAAAGAGAAAACAATAAGATTTTTTTTATAAACAAATCACTCTTATAAATGAGTAAAAAATAAATAAATAAATAATAAGGATATGAAAACTTATTTTTTCGTAATTGTAATTTCTTAAAATAAGAGTGATTGAAGGAAATTCACGTGATTGGTACGTATGTGTGTATGATTTATTGTTAAATTAAGTGTGAAGGAAATGTGAGGCATATATGAGCATAAACATAAACTTTTCTAAAATAATAATTTATTAAATTTTTTATTTTTATTCTTGATAATTAATGTGTATTTATTAAATAATATATTTATTCATTTTTAATATATCTATTTCTTCTCTAACTACCTAAAGGGCATAACAAGAAAATAAGTAATAAATATTCTAAAAAAAACTAAAATATCAATTTTTTATTATTATTCTACATAAACTTTAAACGTAAAAAAAATAGAGGAAATAATGATTATAATATAATATAATAAAATTATTTTAATATTAACAAATATACTTAAATAGTACATGTAGATACACTTTCAATTTTCAATCAATATTTTTTTTTATTAATTATTCGTAATTAATTATTATTCGAGTAATAGATACAAGTGTGGGTACTTATATACCTAATGTATAAGAGTACAAGAATTAAAATTATTATGACATGTTTGGATAACTTTTTTTATAAATTGTTTTAGGTAAAGAAAATATAATAAGAATAAAATAATGTTTTAAAGTTACATAAGTAAAAATAGAAAAAAAAATGTTATGAGAAAGTTGTATAATTTAATTTATATGAAAACTAATTTTATTTTTAAAAAAATAATTTTCTTTTTTTCTTTTTTTGTTGTATATTTATGGAGAAATTCATCTAAAGAGATTTTTAATATGGATGATGGATCTAGATTCAAATATTTCTTTTATAATATAATACGAATATAAGAATAAATATTAAAATACGTACGGTAGTCATTGTTATTCCTAAATGAAAACATATTTTTAATCAATATTTTATAGATACTTTATTGTTTTTCTTCATTTGATTCTAAATAAATTTGAAAGGCTGCACAATTTTTAACGTACATTTAGGCGCAACATCTTTTTGTGCTGCCTTTCTAGTTTCTACCACAATGAGTGCCCAATAACGTTGTTAGCGTCGTTAGTTGAATATAATTACTACCATATAGACTTGACTTGGATCACTAAATAAATTTAACTTGGTTTAATACACAATCTCTTCCGAATAAATACTATATTTAGATTTAGCAAAGGATTATAAATAATGAGAGGAAAACACAAAATAAAAGAGAGATAGATAATGGTGAGAAAATACCCAAAAAAAATTATATTTTGTTTTTAGTTAAAGAGACATAGTTTTCTCTTGTTTGTTTGTCCGTGGAGAAAGAGTAAGGGAAAAAAAATGTAAAAGTTAACCATTTTAAATATAATTTAAAATTATTTATGTCAAATTCTGTTTATGATAAAAACGATTTTGAAAAGGATTTAAGCCTAAAGTATTTGATTTTTTTTTACCATCAAACATTAATTTGCGCAAAATTTATTATTAGCAACTTTAAATTAGGGGTGTAAACAGGTCAAATTAGATCGGATTTGGATAAATCTGTTATCCTATCCAATTAAAATTTAGTAAGTTGGGTCGAGTTTGTACAATTTTTTAAAAACCCAATCCAACCCAATCTAATGAGGATTGAGTTAATCGGGTTAAAATAATTAAATTTATTTTTTTTAAAACATTTAAATATTTTAAAATATATGTAAATCATTTGATACATTACTGCAAATACAATGTTATTAACCTATACTTTTGTTAGCCGGTATAGAATTAAAGGCTAATTTCTCAATATATTAAAATTCATTTATAGGACTAACATTTTTAATCTTTTTTTGTTTTTGTTAGACTGTAATTATTATATTGTTACTATTATTGGTTGGTACGACCTCGGCCAACTTAATTATCACTCATATTTATGTTGTAACATACAATGTATAAATACTTAACTGCCATTATTTTGGAATAATTAGAAAGAAAAGAAAAAAATATTGAGAAGACCACTTTGTGAGTCACTATGAAACGGAGTGGACCATAACCAAATCCATTGTCTGCATATAAGGGAAAAAGGTTTCAATTGAAGCTATGGGAAATCTTAATTGAAAATCGAGCTTTGAAATTTGAAACATGTATAGACAAGCGGTGTATGCATGATTGAAGGACTTGGATGCACCATTACTTAATTAGTTTGATAATTTTTGTTTGGATCATGTAGAAAAAATCAAAATGACGAAACCTGAGATAAGGAAAGAAAAGAGAAAACAATAAGATTTTTTTTATAAACAAATCACTCTTATAAATGAGTAAAAAATAAATAAATAAATAATAAGGATATGAAAACTTATTTTTTCGTAATTGTAATTTCTTAAAATAAGAGTGATTGAAGGAAATTCACGTGATTGGTACGTATGTGTGTATGATTTATTGTTAAATTAAGTGTGAAGGAAATGTGAGGCATATATGAGCATAAACATAAACTTT